GCGCCCAAACTCTATGAAGTGTTTTAAGTACCAAAATTTAAGGTTTTCTTTCGCGCTCTATAGTTTTTCTTCCCACTAAGGCCAGTGTCAGACTTTGCGAATCCAGCGACTCGCTATCGAATCTCGGAGTACGAGCATTGTACCAGCGGATCGAACTATGTATCCAGCGGATCGAACGATGTAAAGCGACTCGACACTGTTTGAAAGTGGCGGGACTCCCTCTCGTTTGCACGTTGACTCTCGCTACTTTCTCGAGCTCTCATGCCTGTGAGCCCGAGAAATGGCGACAGCCAATTTTCAAATTGAGCCCGCCACTTTCAAACAGTGTCGAGTCGCTGGTACATCGTTCGAGCCGCTGGTACACAGCTCGATTCGCTGACGTGACGCTCGTAACCCACGATTCGCTAGCGAATCGCTGTATTGGCCGATGTCAGACTTTGCGATTGGAGCGATTTTGCACCAATTGCAGGAGCGATCCGATCGCTCCAAAGTGCGAGCGACGGGAGATTTACGACTGATGGCGCCGAATTATCGGTGGTCGGCGGGGTAAATCTCCCGTCGCTCGCACTTTGGAGCGATCCGTCGCTCCTGCAATTGGTGCAAAATCGCTCCAATCGCAAAGTCTGACATCGGCCAATGTCCCTCATCGAACTTCTTGTCTAATTTTCGAACAATATAGCACACCGATTCGATCCCGACTGGTCCTTTAAAATTACAAAAGAAGTTTCTGCTGATGATGAAAATGTTTTCCTAAGCTGCGGAGAAGTCATTGCTACGCATTATGTTCCATCATATAAACTGTAGAAAAAAAAACTAAAGTGAATTATTATATGTACCCGATCGTTCTTCGAGGAAATCGCTGTTGTAAAGTCCAATAAGTTCGAAGAGTAATGAACTGAAAATAACCATACACTGCACGAGCCTAACAATCTCTTCCTAACATTTGAATATTAACTCACCTTGTCACCAACAAAGATACACAAACTGCAACACCGGGACCGTACTGCGGGAATCGTTTCACGAATAAATAAGCCACCAAGGTATAAATGATCAATAGAAACAAAGACCAAATCTCGAGGAATAGAAGAATCACCACATAGTTGAACAAGAATTCCAGTACAAACCACATAGACGTTTGTATTGAGGATAACTCCCGATTTCACAGAACATATGGGCCCAGTTCACATAGTTTCAGGTGGAGCCACTTCAGGACTAGGCCGAGAAGGATGGTTCAGTTCGCACACCGACAACTTGAGCTTTATCAGTCAGCTGCCGGAAATAATTTAAAAAAATGTTCCCGCCTTCTCGTCCGCAGTAGCATTGGAGCGCGATATCTTCTGCTGAGGCAAAGACGAGCTTCACATTTAGCAGTGTCTCCACACAGGGAAAACGACCTCTGCTTTACATCAGATTCATCAGATTCAGTTCAGAGATATTTCTTTGGAAAATAGAGTGACTATTCCTCATCAGCAGTCACACTTAAAGGAGTGAGCGCACTTGACGTCACAGCTATGAGTATTTTGGACGTAAATTCAGTAAGTTAGCACGTAACCCTTCAGTACCATAGCTGGACAGAGGAAAGCAGTAGCTCAAGAAATAGTATACTTGAATAAGAGCAACCGAAACGAAGAACATGAGCGCGGTGTCCATCTTTCCATTCCACGGGTCTTCCTACTTGAACATCCCACAAAGCCGAGTTGATCATCCGATGGGTCACGTCTAACAAATGGATCGTACTGATTACATGTGGAAAGCGGCCGTAATCGGGTTTTCTGTAAGACTCTCGGTAGGGGTGGCGTTATCTTCAAAAATATGGGGATTTTTACAAAATTCTTCCGAAAAGTGGACGAAAATAGGAAATGTGCGGAAATTGCTGTTTTGGGAGCTAGGCACACCCCTCCCCATTTCGTCATCTGCGACAAACGGAATTCTAAAATCCAAACTACGCCGACGATCGCCAGTTATGAATTGGCGAAACGATCGTGTGGGTCGGAAATGTGACGGCGTATGTCTACTAGAGCTCCTGCGGCTGCACTTGTTTGGCTCATATTCTATGTGTCTTGGTTGTACTGCGAGGCGCGCGGCGCTCCGCCGCGGAGCTGCTCCATGTATGGATGACGCTCGCCCACGTTCTGTAATGTAGCCGAGTGCACCAGATAGAAGGGATCTACGCCTGGGAGAGAAGAACGCATGCCTCAGAGGAGGTATCAAACTTTGGGGGACAGGAAAACAGACGTGGTCAGCATCTTTGAAGCCACGCACGATACGTCCTTCGCATTCAGTATTTCGCAAGCTCTGATGAAAGCGAAGAAGCCGACTTCAGCCAATAGACTGATCTAATCTTGGGCTTCTACAACAATCTATTCATCAATGATGTCGGCTTCCAGTAAAAACCGTACATTTACACATTTTTTAGTGATGTTCGGCGAGGATTCGACAATTATTGCGCAAATAGAGTTGAAGTGCTGTGCAAAGAACGCTGTAAATTACATATGAAGACGGACAGCTATGCGAATATGAGCGCTCAAAATAGAAAGTAAGAGTGAGGAAGATCAAAGGGACAGAATGTGCTTCAACAGATCTCAATCTGAATAGACTAATTGTTGTGTGACCTTTGCATAAGCTTGCTTTACTTTTGGTGACATAATCTTCAACCAAACCAGTATCATCTTATCAACGAAAAAATACATGCGGACGCAAACACTTTCTAAGTGAAATTTGAAGACACTGGATTATCAGTTAACCCTGTTGTTATATTTCAGTGGTAGTACCCAGAATACTTGTTGTAGTTACTTTGCTACGTTACCATGAAATACGCCATTCTATCAGTCGATCCACAATTCTCTTCATATGATAACTGTAATCACTCTAAAAATGTCTCTTATGCTCAGCTTTATAGAGTTATCATGAGGGCAATAACCTCCCACTTGGTGGAATTACAGGTCAGTTGAGTCCAAGAGATCTTGAAAAGCGGACAAGTGCATACCTCATCAAGAGGGAAAGTGATGATCGAGAATAACCTTCACTGTTTTCCTGGACCTTGGCTTCATGCAGAAGTGCTTTCAACGTTCAAAACAAAAAGAGATAGGTGAGATGATAGTGGTAAAGGAAAGAAGACAATTGAGAAAGGGAATGGGTTCTCCCGGCTCTATGGGTTATTTTGGCGCTCAGTCCGGGGTGAGGGGGATACATTCGGTGAGTGAGCCGCTTACTGTATCTGGGATCAAGCCTTACCAGGAAATGCTTTGAACTTCCCATGGAACTTTGAAAGGAGACCTAGATATATCGATAGAGTCTTGAACGCTGATTACAAATATGGACACTAAAACTGCTACGTGAACTTCCTAAGAAAGTTATGAGCCTTCAAAGTTGGCAAAAAACGTTACTGAGGCGAGCTTACCTGGTGGAATCACAGTCGCCGTGGCTCTGCGCCAAAAACGAGTCTCATATTCGTAATCAGGGCACCCATTTACCCTTATAGAACAAGTTCCAGGCAAAAAGCAACCGTGTTTCCACATAGGTTGCACCTCATTTGCAACTTTTAAGGCTCACAACTTTCTTACAAAGTTCACGTAGCAGTTTTAGTGTCCATATTTGTAATCAGCGTCCAAGACTCTATCGATGTACCTAGGTCTCCTTTCAAAGTTCATGGGAAGTTCAAAACATTCCCTGGTTAAAAAGGGGAAGGTACTGTGAGTGACAATTTTTGTTTTTCCTGGCGTTTCTTCCCTCTCCTGGGCTCAATCCTAGTGACACCCTATCATCGGCCCTGTTTTTCATGTCCCCCTGAGGCTATAGGCGCTTTTGTTCCAGTTATAACCTCTGCACTTAGAAAACGTACTGTTCTTTGCTCAAACCTCTCCTCTGAAGATAGGACTTGCTGTTGAATGACGTCTCGAAATACGCGCTTCCGCGAAAATACGCGGAAAACCGAGGGCTGGAACCTAGTTCGAGCTCACAGATCCCTAGATATTGCGGTGATCGAGGAGAGCTCGGTGCACTGCTAAGCCGGTTTTGAAGTCGGTGATGTTGGAGTGCGGGGGATGAGGAAAGAGTGCGCACGGGACGACAACGGCGGTGGCGGCTCAAGCTCACTGACCATCATATCGACAACATGGTGGAGATAGACTATATGCTCGATCCGGGCTGGCCATATCTCAGACAAGCCGAGGACCTCCAGTTAAAGGTGGGCTTTGTTTTTTTTTTTGAAGTTTATCGATCATTAATTGTTATTAAGATTAGTTGTGCATTACCATGTGGGGAGGTTAAAGAGCCCTCATTACGTGATTTATCTATCTACTTTTTTATTTATTTG